TTTTGTGACTTTCTTATTGGAGAATGAGCCTCAAACATTTAAAGAAGCTATGACTTCTTCGCATGCCATTATTTTTGGAAAGAGGTAGTCAATAGTGAAATAGAATCCATATTGAACAACCATACATGGGAATTGGTTGATCTTCCTCCTGGAAATAAACCTTTGGGTTCTAAATGGATTTTTAAGAGAAAAATCAAAGATGATGGCACTATTGATAAATTCAAGGCAAGACTCGTAGTCAAAGGGTATAGACAACGAGAAGGTCTAGACTACTTTGATACATACTCTCCAGTTACAAGAATTACGTTATATGGATGTTAGTAGTATTAGCTGCAGTGTATGGTCTTGAAATTCGTCAAATGGATGTTAAGACGGCCTTCTTAAATGGAGAGTTGGAGGAAGAAATTTACATGGAACAACCTGAAGGGTTTGTGGTTCCAGGTAAAGAAAAGAAGGTATGTAGACTTGTTAAGTCTCTTTACGGACTAAAACAAGCACCCAAACAATGGCATGCGAAATTTGACCAAACAATGTTGTCAAATGGTTTTAAGATAAATGAATGTGATAAATGTGTGTACATTAAAAATGTTCCAAATCACATAGTCATTGTTTGCCTATATGTGGATGATATGCTGATAATGAGTAATGACATTGCCAACATAAATGCTACTAAGCGTATGCTCAATAGCAAGTTTGATATGAAAGACTTGGGAGTTGCTGATTTAATTCTGGGAATTAAGATCCATAAGACTCCTCAAGGTCTGGCATTGTCACAATCTCATTATATTAAGACAGTACTTGAAAAATTCAAGCACTTGGGCTTTAAAGTTGCAAAGACTCCAATTGACGTGAATCTTGCATTAGCAAAGAATAAAGGCCAAAGCATATCACAATTGGATTATGCTCGTGTGTTGGGATGCTTAATGTATATCATGAATTGTACACGACCAGATATAGCTTGTGCTATAAGTAAACTGAGTCGATATACGAGCAATCCAGTCCAATCTCATTGGATGGCAATGAAACGAGTTTCAGATATTTTTCAATCCGCATATTGACCACCAGGCAGCCGCCTAATGCTCTTCCTACCATGAATGTGCTTGCTCCACAAACAAGCTAATGCTTGCTCCACCATGGAGGGTGGATGATTGTTCTTCTTCAACACTGGCTGCTATATATATGTGCAGCAGCTGTTAAAGAAAGACACACACAATACACAAGACACAAAACTGAATTCGCTCAACAGAGTCAAGATAGAATATATTGACTACAAGTTCAACTCCCATAAGAATAATGAAAGCGGAGTGAGATTGGATTGAATTATGGCGCCTAAATGCAGACATATCAAGTATTTTAGCTCATTCTTTTAGGTAATACTATAATAGATAAATATGTAACACAGAGAATTAAAATAGGATAAAAAATAAAAAATGAAGAATTGGAATGTTATGAGGTAGAAATCCACCTAATATATAAGGCGAAAGGCTAGTTGTATAGCTTCGTTACAAAAATATCAATGCTATTGTAAGAGTGACCATTAGAGGCACAACAGATTCACAAAATGAACGTAATAGAAAATATAGATATTATAATGAATGGGCCAATTATATAAGATTAGATAAGACTGGAAATGTTCATATCTGATAGAAAATGCAATAGGCCACACACAGGAAAATAGTCCGTAAGTGTGACAACATGATAAATATGGAATGTGCTAAATGAAGATGAAGTAGATCTAATATTGAAGGAAAGTTGTCTGAAAAAAACCTGAAACCTCTTGCAATCAATGCAAACTTAAGAATATAGCAGAATTGAAACAAATTATCAAAAATATAGGCAATATAAAATCGTTGAAATTAAACTTGTTTTCCATGTAGAGATAGTTTAACGATCTTAAAAGACAACTTTTTAGTATTAAAGTAAATTAGAGCAGAATGAATATAAATTGTTCATGTGGTCGATTTCTACTTGATTTTGAACTGAAGCATAGTTGATAAAATTTAGTTCAGCCCTACTCTGATCATCTACAAATCAAGATTTGCCAATTTAGACATAAACATAGCAAAATCGATGGGAGAGAACACTACCAGTTCCTTTCTAGTTCATCTTCACTTTGATATTTCATAGTATATATATATACTTTAGTTTCCGACGTAATTGGCTTTCTCCTTTCCTCTTCTTCCCTTAATTTCTTTATGTAACAGATGAAGTTTAACACCTTAACACAGTGCTTTAAGAAAAGCTTGGCATGGTTTTCATTTGGAAAACATTTTAATAGGAGTATATGTTATTTAAAGTTCTTTAAGCATATTTTTGGTTAAAACAATTTTTCTATTGGAAAAAGAATAAAACGTAGTCAAAATGCTTTTCACTCAGACACGTTTTGTATTTCAAAAATTCTCCAAATACTCCATAGAAAACTACCAGAGAAGGTCTTCACGGTTTTCTTTTTCTTTTCTGTCCCTTAATCCTCTATCACATACACTTTTGTAAATAAACATTAACTAGAAACACACGATTTACAAACACCTTCTGGAGTCTGGAGATCTTGAATCAATTACTTGGCAAACACAATGTTTAAAGGGATGACTAAATATCCGATGTCAAATTGAAGTTTCTCATCGATTTGAATGCTCTTATATACACTGGTAATTCCAAAAGAAGATCTTATTGGTTACTTCCTCATAAAGTGATGATCATCTTTCTCCGTCAAAACTTGACTTTGTTGCCCTCATAACCATAAACTGACTAATGGTTTCGCTCAAGACCTATGAAATCTTAAATCTGGTTTGCGATTGTCAGTAGATGCTTTTGGCCCCAATGGCAGAGCCAACATTTTCTTCCATGCCCCATTTGCACGTCCAGATGTCGAAGACAAAAAGTTCATGATAACTGACTTGCCAACAGCTTGTTCTCAAGAATCACATCTTCGAAGAGGCGCTGACTGATCAGTATAATGGGCAAAGCTCTTTCTGTTAGAAGAGAAAAAAACTGAATAAACTATACAAGCTAATGTACGCCTAACATCTGAGTCAAATTGACACATATCATAACCTACCTTCCGTTCACCTCATAGTATGAAGTTTGACAACTAGAACAATCATACTCTAAGAATTCGAGTCAACTTGTAGACCTGCAGGAGTTAAAGCAAGTAAAAAAACATTCGTACATCATGCCCACCGGTAAACAGAGGACGTAAGAGAGCCTGTTTTAGCAAATATGTACTATTGACAAGCGCTTTACAAAAAGAAAACTCCCTTTTACAAAACTAATTTCTCTTGTGATACCTTTTAATAACATTGAGATACTTCATAAAAATGTTGCAAGTTTACAGAATCCTACACCATCAGAAGCCTAAATAGGGGGAAAAATTCAAACCTGAGCACTTCTACTTGGTAGAGGCACTTCCAAGCAAAATCTCATTCCATCAGCTCTGAAATGGAAAAATTAAGACATGCCTAATATAAAAGCTGATATGGATATCATGTAAGAACTTCAGAATTTCTTCCCAATAGAAGTAGAGAATGCAAGTAAGCTACTAGATATTAGTCATGTAGAAACATGGAAACTTCATCTTCCCAGTAGATGTAAAACGTAAATCAAGCGACTAGTTACCTTCTACTAATGGTTCTTTGAACAATATGATCATGTCCAATCAGTCCTCTACCGCCATACTTCTTTTCATCTGTATTTAATGTGACCTAATACAATTTTAAGGAACAATAGGGTAAGAAATACCAACACATTATAGTCAGAGAAGTTACAAAATTCATAGATCATGTACGCCAATGAAGATGTCAACTGTGTTCCTCAATAGATGTACTATTCTCTGAAATTTCAAATCTGTAACTGATGGAAAGATTAGAGTGAGTTGTTTAATTGGAAGAAGGTGTTCGTGAGAACCCACCACTTCCTTTTTGGCTTTTCTTTTTCCCAAGTATGAAAGAATTAGAAGTGTTTTAAGAGTCACTGTTAAGAATGTTAACGTTAGGGAACTGTAAATATGACAACAATTTGTTCCTTGTAAATAGAGAAAGGTTTTTCCAACTACTTAAGATTAAAGTCTTGGCATGAAACGGGCAGCACAGCTGAAGCTGAGCCTCCGTGCCATTAGAGAAATACTGAGATGAGACAATCTTCGCCATGCGCACAGAGTCGTGCCAAGTGAACTGGGATAAGAGTAGGCTAGCTTATTGTTCAGTAGGACCGAGTGTCAGACAAGTTATTTGTGTACCACTGTCGGTATGGTCGCTATGGGGGGTACGCTATGGGGGAATTAACCCACGACAGTTAATATCAGAGCAAGGAAAGAGCCAAGTAATGCCGAGGTGATACCAAGCACAGCTGGTGTCACTGCTTGAGTTTGAGCTTGCTTGTTCGAGCATAGCTGGATTATCAGTTTTGAGATATTATTAGAGCATAGTGGCAGTTCACATTTTGCTAGGGCCATAGCCTTTATATCAGGTCAAGGAACATGAGATAAAGGGAGAGAATAACTACTTAATATATACATGGTAAGCAGGTATTCTCTACTCTAACTACACCAGTAAACATTCTAAATACTACTAGATACAGGTATTCACGAGCCTGGGCAAAATTGAAATAGAACTAGTCACATGTATAAAAATACAGTCTGCCACATCCGGAATAATACTGTAAAAAGTATCTACAAAATTCATAGGCTTAAGACAATTGTCTTCATGCATTTCTCATTTTTTTCTCTACAATCTTACATCATAATACTGGGTTGTTGTTGTCATTGTATCTTACATCATAATACATATATAAATTCAATTTGATTCTAACAGTTACTTTAATCAATGGGGATAGAGAAACAGCTACACAGATTTGTTCTGGATAGAGAAACAGCACAGATCTGTTCAACTTGCAGAACCCTTTTTTCATATTTGTATTTATCTTCATGTGGAAGTGAGATGAAAATTGGAAAAAATGCTCATATCCTCACTCAAGCTAGTGCTTATTCTGATTTACTATGGAGGCTGGCCTAGAAGTAGGGACAGAAACAAACAGCTACATAAATCCTTTCAACTTGCAAACCCGCTCCAAGTTGATGGGGATTGAGAGAGATGAAGATAGGAGAAAATGTATATCTCACACAAGCTAGTGCTTATTTTAATTTACCACGAAGGTCGGCTTAGATACTTCTCATCTCTGTAAGAAAAAAGTGAAAGATGCACAAAGATTTATCTCATTACTTATATATAAATGGCGGGGTGACCATATGACAGTAAATACTTATGAGATACCTTTATGCCCGACTGAAATAAGCTCTCATAAACTTAGCCACAAGGAACAGCAAATGCTGAACAAAAACTTCAAAATTTTGATTGAGGCAGAAAATTAAAAAAAAAGGATAAATGACACTTACTTGATACTCTCCAGCTTCTTCCACACCTATAGTGTATCTTTCATATGCATTGACAGGATGAAAGTTGAACACAAAGAGATTGGGGCCTCTCAAGTAAGAAATCACCTGTTCCAAAGACAATTTCTCTTTATCTTCGAAAAAGATACTGATGAATGATAGCAGTAAGCAGGAAGGGTTGATTTAGAGAGAACACAAATGAAATTGGGAACTCATATACTCTGCCGGTTTGTTGAAAAAACTACGAAATAAGATGCTACGAAGCATGAAAAATTGGGTTTGCAACCATGAGAGTTCATTTCAAGCAAATGCACCAATGTGCCAACTGATCCATCAGTACTATGACACCAAATGTTACTACTGGCATCGACCAAATGTTCATCATACAACTCAATTCATTCCAGCAACAGGCAATTATTGTGATCCTTTTTTCTCTTGGGGGACCACAGCCCACAGATAGAGCTAAAATATGAAAACTCCATCCCTNCAAAAAAATCTCGTCAATCAGGCACACCAGAAGAACCAGATAGAAACAAAATTCATAATGGAAAAATATCAAATGAAAGAAAAAGTCATTGTACCATGGTAGTATCATTGACATGGTGAATGTTGGCAAGACCTCGAGACAAAATTCTCCCATTTTCATGCAAGTCCATCATATCCTGAAAAATGGAAGGAGTGAGAATTCACTTCTGTCTTTTTTCCTCTGGTTGCTGAACAACTATTGTAATTCACGGTGGAGCCAGAAAAAGAAGATTCGTTTCATATGTCTATAGTTGAATAAACCTCAAGTTCCAAGTTATCTTATCAACCAACTAATTAAGATTATGGAGAGGTGTTATTTTCCACTTCGTAATCACGGTATGCAAAACAGCACAAGTGAGCCAAGTCTCATTCAAGTATATCAGACAACAATAAAGATGGGAGTAGCCCTAGAACCTCATTTATTATTGCACAATTACGAGGGCTGCCTTCATTGCCCATACCGTATATCTTTTCTACACAGGAAGGTTGCTAACGTGTGGAAGCCGAACAATATTACTCCTTGATGGAAAACAAGGGGAAAAAGCAATATGTGGCATACAAACAAATATCTCTTAAAAAGTACACGCAAAGGGAAGATAAATTTAGTGACAGTCATTTGCTAAAGCCCAACTACTAGAGTTGCCTTGCATTACTCTAGATCAGATAAATTTAGTGACAGTCATTACTCTTATGGTCTATGTTTTTCCACACAGAATATTGGAATGTGGAAAGTCTCTGTCAGAATTAATAAAAACCAACAATGATGTATCAAAGCGGAACAAATTTACTCCTTGAGGGGGACAACAACAACAACAACAACAGCCCAGTGAAATCCCACAAGTGGGGTCTGGGGAGGGTAGTGTGTACGCAGACCTTACCCCTGATGTTTCCGATAGACCCTCGGCACAATAAAGTACACCTCAATTGCAATATACGTTTAGATAGATAGATAGATAGATAGAGAGAGAGAGAGAGAGAGAGAGAGAGAGCGCACATTTTGCATAATTAAAAGTTCAGCGGTTACCTTATCAAATGAGAACAATTGATTATGTACGTCATTTTCCAACAGATCCCACTGACGGTTAGCTAGTGAAAATGAGAAATTGTTGTTTGGCATGGGAAACTCAACCCTCTGTTGCAGGATACAAATGACATTTGTTACTAAATCTACAGTATCATATCTGCACCTGCATAAATCACAAGTGCAGGAAATAAATATTCTCACCTTTGGATGACCAAATTCATTGCCCATGAAGTTGAGGTATGCATGACCACCAATTGTAGATGTAATTAATCTGATCATCTATTTAATAAAAGAAAATCCAATTCATAATTAGACATGCTCAAATGCATGGAATATCACACAACCATAAGCAGGTAAGTAATCTAAACTTGTGCTGAAAGGAGGAAAAATAGCATAGTGTATGCTTTAGATAAATCCATCCTCTTGTTCATTAAGGAGTTTATCCGAAGGACTACTCTGCTAACCAGAGAATCAAAAATATCAAATTCATTAAGCTGATTATTTTTTCCAGACGAAAAAAATTTTAAAGACTAGTTTCTTCCAAGCACATTTAAGTTTTACATGAGTGCAATCCTTATTGACCACAAAATCAAGAAAAGACGAGAATTATACAGAGATTAATTTTGACCTCAAGTAGGAGGTAAGCATGTAAGTTCATTAAAGATATTCGTTTTGGCTGGATTACCAAAATAGAGTGAAAACAACATAATTAAGAGACGAGTGTAGGGTGGCTGATCATCATACCAGATCTGATCACTAGAGGAGAACCAAGAAATGTCAAGTAATTAGCTTTGTCTAACAAGCAGTCTCTAGGTAGTACCAGATATTGACGCTCTACATGGACCTTAACCACAAATCAGGAAATTACCTTGTACAACGAGCAGCCTCTAAGGAATGACTCTTGTGATGCAGGAGATTTTCGCGAGGAGTTACCAATCAGTATTTCTGCAAATGAGCGACCTCCAGAAATGGACTAGAAGAGAAGGAGAATTACAACCAATAAGATAATGTTGATTATAGATTCAGAAATTTACAGTATGAAATAAAAGAAAAGGAAATAAGAGATAAGTCATAAATTCTACATGATAAAAAGAGACAGATAGTAGCTACCTGGTTGTGATTTTCAGCATACAAAAGCATCTTATCAACATTTTGTCGGCCACCCATTAATGTGCTAACAATCTAAATTAAGACAACCAAATTAAATACCACTAATTACCATGGCATTCAAAGCTTGAAAGGAGAAAAATCTTGTCAACCAATAATGCAAGGTTCAACCTTACTCATGGACCATTCATGATCAGGAGTATTTTCAAGTAATGCAAGCCACATCTCCGAGGCAGAAAGATTCACAAAATAATCAAAGCCCAGTCCACCTTGAGAAGTTGGGTCACAAAGTCCCGGATACAGGGTTGCCTACATAACAGTAAGAGAACTTGTCACAAGACAGTACAGGTCTCAAACTAGCCATAAAGACAAAGAAGTAAACTTGGACAAGTAGAAAACTAAACAATGAATTCTCTTATAAAAAAATTTAGAGTTCTCTTTTCAAGAGTTCTCTTTTTTTTAAGATAAATTCTTTTCAGGAGATATCTTAAAACATCAAAGGTATACTCCACGCAACAGAATTCAATAACAAAAAAGGATTTCTACCTCCTAGAAACCATCTGAGTAAAGCAATGAACAATTTCAAGAGAATTGAAAAGGAGCACTTACATCCTCGGCAATCGTGATCACATTTGGGTGAAGAGCATGCAATACTTCATTTGCTAATATGAGGTACAATAAGGCCTCCTTGTCAACATACTGGTTACAGTACCTGCAATGACAAAGCTTAATGATTGTCAAAGAAAGACTGCTCAAGAATGAAATATGCTCATAATCCATCCACCAATGCACATCCTAGTCACATATAATTTTTAGATTTGAGGTCCTTCTATAGCTTTCTTCTTTAATCCACATTACAGTCTCTAGCACTTCCTTATCAAAATAGAACGAGAAAATGCTTGTAAGGATTGTAAATATATGAACTCATATATATCTCACTAGTGAACACACAAAAACTATTAACATGAGACAACTGGCCTGCATAGGCAAGTCGACAACGTTAGTGACTGAAAAGATGTAACTTGTGATTCTTACTCATCCATGTCACCAGTAAATGAAGCAAATCCATTGTGTGTATACAGCATGGATGAGAGTGAATGAAAATGGAATCCATCAACATGATACTCCTCCACCCACCTGAAAAGTGCCACTTAATAAGCAAAACACCAAGAAAATAATTTATTGCGCAATCATGTCAAAAAGCATTTGGTTTTGCACTGACCAGGGAAAAAAAGAGTTTTGTGAAAATTGAGTTAGAGAGGAAAAATAGAGGGAACTTATTTTTATACAACAACAACAACAAACCCAGAGTAATCCCACAGGTGGGGTCAGGGGAGGGTAATGTGTATGCAGACCTTACTCCTACCTTGTGAAGGTAGAGAGGCTGTTTCTGGGGAGGGAACTTTTATATTTCACATAATTCAAAAAGAAAAACAAGATTCACCTATATATAGATGCAAAAGAAAATAGTCTGGACATAATAAATAGAGGTGGTGCATTTATTGCACTGTCAGACAATTTATTTATTTATTTTCATCACGAAAGTGGTTTCAAACCTTGCACAATCATGTCCAGGTGAAAGTATTTTGTTTGGAATTTTAAGCAAAGGAAAAAAATCCTGTGAAATTTGAGGGAGAGGAGAAAATTGGTTTATTTTGTACTACTCACTTATTACAGGAGAACTACCAGATGTACCTAAAATACTACAAAATACAGCATGAACGTAATAAACAAAAGGATGGTGGTCTGTACTTATTGTACCTTGGGTACATTTATCAGGTCCTAAATACAGCAAACCTTTACTTCTAACACTTCACCATACAAAGTGAGAAACCAAGATGAGCTTGTAATAAACTAATGCTATAAACTGAACGTTATTTCTTTTTCCATTCATATAATGCCAACAGAATAGTACATGATGAATAATGCCCAAGGAATTATATCACTTGAACATGGTAGAATAAAATTAAATAATTAAACGTGTACTCTCTCTAACAGCTTAACATGGTCTTAAAGATAGACTCATCCCTATTCTAGGTTTACCCCATCTTGAGCCACCACATGTTATACTGTCCAGTGTCCATGCTCTAGATGTCCAACGCTGAACGTACAAGGGGAAGAGAGGGGGTGTTACCGATCCACATTTGTTGAGGATATGAGTTGTAGTCTCTTTATATGGCCTAAGGCATTCTCTTTACTTGAGCCGAGGGTCTATCGAAAACAGCCTCTCTACCTTCACACGGTAGGGGTAAGGTCTGTGTACACACTACCTTCCCCACACCCTACTTGTGGAATTACACTGGGTATGTTGTTGTTGTTGTTGTTGTTGTAGGCATTCTCTTTACGTCACGAGCTAACGCTTACAGTTGAATTAGAACCAAGACCATTTGCTTAACATAGTATCAAACATGCAGAGGTTCTAGATTGAAGTCTCAACACCACTCATTTAGTTAAAAAAAAATAAGCGCCATAAAAAAAAGTTTGGTCCACACGTGAGGGGAGTGTGATAAATTGAAAGTGTGTTCTCTCTAGCAGTTTAAGCTTTTACTCCTTCTATTTCATTTTATATGATAGTGTTTGACTGAATACTGAGTTTAAGGAAACTTGGAAAGGAAGACAATCTTTGACACATACCATAATAACCTTAAAACTTGTGGTCTTAAACATGCCTTGACATTTTTATGTATATAAGAGCACGTCACAAAGAGTAAAATGAGAAGTTAAAGTTAAAGATTACAACATAGAAAGGTGTCATTCTTTTTGGAACATACTAAAAATGAAATAGTGTCATACAAAATGAAATAGTGGAATAGATGAGATGGCCAAACTTCAACCAAACTGAATCGCCTTAATAGTACCACTTAGTTACCTATCACAACAAAAAAAGTACCACTTGGATAGTACCTCCAGAAGAAAAACTAACACGGTGCTACCCTAAGAAAAACTTGATAAAGAAAAAGGAAGAAATGTTGACACTTGCGCTGCCCTGAGATTGATTTGGTGCTCCCATGAGCCAAAAACATATTGGGCACAATCGTGAGACAAACTGTGGACTCATGAGACAAGTTGATATAGAGTACACGTATGTTGCCACCTTGATCAGTTCACCAAATCCATGGTTGTACTATTGCTGTGGATCTATGAGACTTGACTAAAAGGAGGTCATATATGCTAGCAGCTTGACTAGAACACTAGCAATTCCACCTGAAATTAATAAAGTGATGATGTGTCTCTAATTGAGGATGACAGTGCTGACTTGGCGGCTGAGTTATCACTGAAATGTTGATTGTCATGACACAATTCTTCAACCGAACCTTTTTAACCTCGCTCTTTTTTTTTTTGCCTATTTCCTTCACTAGTACTATACTCTTAGAAAATGTGCAAAACAATAATAAATGCATCAACTTCCCCCAAAATTCAGATAGGACCAAAAGCTTATTTTACCTACTCTATTGTTTTTTTTTTGTCCTTTCTCCTTTGCGCCATATCTCATCATTGTACAAAAATTTCCTGCAAAAGCTTTATAAAACTAACTTTACCCATCTTAACCTTACCAATTATAACAAAAGTTAATCCAATTTCAACTGCTATTGAAAAAAGAGAGCCCCGCTCACAATTTCTTTAATCCTGGCCCAAATTAAACATTTGATATCCCAAACCCAGGTGCCTTTTTTACCTACTCTTTATCATATTTTTCCCATTCTTTAAGTTTCCTGCAAAAGCTTACATAAAACTAACTTTTCTCATCTTAAACTTTTACCAATTATGGCAAAAGTTAACCAATTTCCACTACTATCGAAAAAAATAAAGAGAGCACCAATTACACTTTCTTTAAAACTGGCCCAACTTAAGAATAGCTAGTCGGTAGTTATTCATATTCCTCCCCCTCATTCTCCTCGAACAATTCAACCTCATATGCTGTTTTTTTAAATGTATTCCTACCCAAAGGCTGGAAAATGAATTCTCAGATTACAGATTTGCTTCACGAGCTGCCAAGTCTATCATCTCTGCTTAATTAAAGCAGATTTTTCTTTTTTTCTGAATACGGGTAGCAGGAGCAGTTTCTTTGAGTGGAGTGGTACCTTTTCTAGCTTCATGTGACACGATGGAGGATCTTTGTATCCAAACCATAGGTAAGGGATAGAGAGGGACAATTGGCTACGATCTGACTTTGAGCAAAAACGATGAAATTTTGTCTGGGCAAGCGGCAAGAGGCCATTTGCAGGTAAGCAGAAGCAATTTAGGATTCTACCAAGAATGAATATGCTAAGAAACAATTGTGAAAATTGACTGAGAACTTATTTTTGTATTTCCCACTTGATAAAAATAAACTACAATATGAACAAATATCCTATATACAGGATCGTGGATGGTGGTACATTTGTTGCACCTCAGGATACATTTATTAGGTGGCAGAACCTTAATTTCTAACAAATCTAAAAGCTAGCTATGAAACTGAGAGAGGAGCATACATAGGATAGAAACCAGATAACTTTATACTCACCAGTTCAGATTTGAAAGAAGAAAGTGTAGAACATCAAGATCTCCATATTTGAACATTCGTGTGCCCCAGAATTTGTGATTTCCACGTTTACCTAGTTATGCAGTAAATAAGGAACTCAGGATCCAAAAAGAAATTCAAATATATCAAAAGTATTTAAAAAATAATCATATGTAGACCTTTAATCAAGCTAGTGAAGAGAAACTCCAACTAATTAGAACTTCCATAACATAATGGAGACAACAAAAATACTATTTGTTAGACAAACTAATTTGGAAAAAACAGTGAATATGGCATCACAGTTGTGATGTCAATTTTGGTTGGTTCAAGTTAGAATTTCAAATAAATCCCCAACGCTCCTCATGTTCTGTTCTGTCGTGACCAAGCTTGAGATGTTGTTCAAATTTTTTATGGCCTTATGCAATAAAAGTGTACTTGTTTTTTGCATAAATATAAAGAAGGTAAAGGTAAATGATGGAAACAAATAGAAAAGGAACAAGGTTACAACTTTTTATGGAATATACCATTTCTACTTTTTATTTTAAATATATTAATGATTTACTTTCTTCTTAAGGTAAATTGATATATATAGAGACACACAAACACATATGCACATTAATACATGTGTGTGTGCGCGCGCGAGTGCCAACAGCTTTGTTTATGAAGAGTGGAGACATAAATCTAGTTTGGAGGAAACTAAAAGTAGCCGAGTTATACACACCTAGGCACTGAGCGTTGCCTAGGTACCTAGGTGGCCATTCGTGACAACAGTAACTCAATATATAACCCCCAATACCTATACAACATGAGTAAATAGGTTCTCATAGCCTAGGTATGTCGGGAATTTAGGATATTAAATCACTCGAAGTGAAATTTTCATACAGTTAACCAGACACGTATTGAGATTGTTTATGTTCTATTGCCACACGGTACATGTGTGAATGACAAGTTTAGGTGAACGAAAGCAAGAAAATAGAAGTTTTCAAACAACTAATAGTCAATCGCAAAAGAGTACAAGGTGAACACAAAAACACATATGTGTGCCGTTCCTTAGCTACTGAGCATAATAGGGCAAATGAATACCTAACAGTACTCTAACTGCACCAAAATTCTAATATTGAAGATCAGCGACAATGAGAATGGCCAATACATGCTCTTGCATGGTGTATGACGAACACATGTCACGTAACTACACATTTGATTAAGCATGCCAATCTGCATATGCCTGAACTGCACATGGCCAGTTGAACAATTAGCACGCGGTCACACGCGTATATACACAAGCCAACACCAACTGTTTTCCCATTTAACCACAACCAGCTATTCATGGTCTTATGGGCATGGATCGATCTAGAGGCTTTTCAGCATATCTATGTTCAGATCAGCCATAGGATCTTCATAGCAATAAAAGAGGGTATGAGCACTACACTTTGGATCTCAGATACGAAAAGATTGTGACTAGAACAGATTCTAAATTGGGTGACTAATTTAATCTCCCATACAAATACCAAGTTTCACTTAATCACTCCCTTATTGGATCTAAGATGCTGTTATTGAAGACCATGAAATCTTCTTCAATGCACACTTACGTATACCACCAAAGAGGACAGTAATTATGCAACAAATATTTTGAGCTAGTTATGGATCCCCTCTGTAGAGCTCAATCCTTCTTATATTGATATAGCAGGTGTAGGCCTAGCCATCAATCTTTCATGGAATAGTTTCAAAATAAATACTAGTATTATAATTAAGCAACCAAATTGGTTTGCAAATCACAGAACCTCAAACCACAAAAGACACATGCATAGTTTGGATTAGATAAGATAATCCTCCCCAGAATGATGTCAAATTTGTAAAGTAACCAATAAAGAAAAACCAAGGTTTGTCAAGTACTTCTAAACATTTTCAATTCTAAGACTTTACCAGTATGGAAATAGCAGTCATTTGTTCCATCAAAAAGAGATAATCCAACCATTTCGTCTGCTGCTGCATAAGAGTGCACAATCTCCAAAAAGACAAGCAGTCCAAGCCCTGCGCCCCCCCACACACACAAAAAAAAAAAAAGGAACACAATTAGTAGGACCCTGAATACAAAGTAAAGAAAAATAATAACAAGCAGGTGGGTCCCAATATTATCCGAAATATCCATTGACGTAAACAGACATCATCTATAATCATTATCAGCACACACAAGCTAAAAGCAAGGAGATGCATAAGCTGGATAGGGAAATATTTGAACCGAGATATTTAACCAATTTAAGTTCCATAAAAAATTATTTTTGGAAAACCAGAGTGGACAACTGCTTCGCTACTTTGAACTGGGGAAGGGAAAAATCTTAATAAGAGAACTTCTCTTTGATAATCCAATGTGATAAAATTTAAAAAGGTAGTTAAATAAAGTTAAATCTTAAACATCAGTCCCCGTATGAGGTTTGACTAACCTATGAGCCAATATAATAATGTAAGTGCACCTCCACTTAACTTTGGTACAATTTTTCTTTGTAATACGTGTAAGTGAAGAAAGGCACCTACCACAAATATGTCCTCTTAATTTAACCCTTCTAAAGCTCTATTTCAAAAAAGTTGTTTAATAAGAAGCCAACACTTATCCCAGAAAAATACCAAGACTTTTACAAGAAATGGGTAACCACTCTCTACACCTAGATGGTGAGTAAGTATTTTATAGCTAAATAGATAAACCTAATAGGATTTATCCTATAGAATACATTCCATAATATTTTCCTTACTCAAGTTCAATTAATCTAGACACATTTTCTGATTAAACCTGCCCCTCAAAATAAAAAGTGAGAAAACCAACTTAAGTGCGTTTATTTTGGAAACACAGAAAGTTGTCGCTAAAACCGACAGGAATAGAGCACAACCAAATACAAAAGTGGTGCTTGGATTCTCCTTCCGAAAAGCCGAAGGGAATAGCACAGTGAAAGAAAGTGCTTCTAGCATACAAACGGAAAGGAATCTACTCTCAACCACGGGAAAAAAAGTATGGCATTGGAAATCCCCAAGACATCATAAATGTAGCTTGAATTGGCAGAACAATGACAAGAAAAAGTATAGAGGAGGGCATTGATCACTTTATAGAGGAGGGCTTCGATTGCATAAAGAGACACAAGGCGCCAGTGACAGAAAGAGGAGTGGCATCATCAGAGACAAAAGAGTTTGAAAAATAATATTGGCTGGCGAGTGGTCTTAGACAGAAGCCACTTAAGACTCTACCAAGATCGTAGAGGCTCTTTATACCATGTTAAATTACATGACAACCTCATTTAAAATCCCAAACTATTAGAGAGGGAAGGACCTTTATTTATTTAATTATGTCTGTTAAGTAGTTAGTCATGTATGGTGTCCCACATCGGGAAGTAGATACCTATTATCATGTAATCACTTTATATAAATAGGGCGTTGTACAACACTTTAGATAATCAATAATATTTTCTCCCGTGCTTTCTCACATGGTATCAGAGCAATCGTGAGAGATTTATTGACTCCAGGAAGAGAAATCAGTCAACCGGAAGTCTTTTTTCCGGCAAACACAGGTCTGCCGCAGTAAAAAAAAAGTCATTTTTCGTCAGTGATGTGCAAAAACCAACACACCACGAAGTAGATCGGCCTCCGACGACCAACCCATAAAAATATCTCCGTTAGAAGACCCTCCACGCTCTCACACGCACCGCCGGAAGAAATTTTTCCGGCGAAGTTCCGTCGTCACGCGCCGGTGCGTGGGGCCCTTTCCGGTCACTTTTTGAAAAATTTTCCGATCCTTCATTACAAAGCATGTAAACAGACATCTTCAGAGATAGCTTCCGTTGTTCAAACAGGTAGTAGCGTGACTTGTGTCTCCCAATCTTCAACCTCCGAGTCTTGGGTCATTGATTCAGGTGCATCGGATCATATCTCTGGTAACAAATCTCTTTTCACTACTATTTCGTATTCTCAATCTCTTTCAACAGTCACAATGGCCAATGGGTCTCAAACCATGGCAACTGCAATAGGTCAAGCAAGCCCACTTCCTTCCTTACCTTTAGATTCAATTCTTTACGTTCCCCGTAGTCCTTTTAATCTCATAGCTGTTAGTCGCTTAGCCAAATCACTTAAAAGCGCTGTTTTATTTCTTACTGACCTTGTTTTTATACAGGAACGCAATACAGGGCGGATCATTGGTACCGGACGTGAATCAAATGGACTTTATTACCTTATCCTTGCTAAATCACATGGACTCACATCTTGTCTTCCTTTAACAACTTGTCATGTTACTGATTCACCAGATTTATTACATAAATGGTTGGGATATCCCAGTTTGTCAAAACTTCAGAAAATGGTACCTGGTTTATCTCACTTGTCCACTCTAGAGTGTGAGTCATGTCAGCTTGGTAAGCATACCCGCTCTCATTTCCCTCGGCGTCTTGATAATCGAGCAGAGTCACCTTTTACTTTAGTCCATTCAGACGTTTGGGGTCCTAGTCGGGTCAGTTCTACCTTGGGATTCCGCTACTTTATCAGTTTCATTGATGATTATTCCAGGTGCACTTGGATATTTTTGATGAAAAATCGATCTGAGCTGTTTTCTATTTTCCAGACCTTCCACGCTGAAATTCAAAATCAATTTGGGGTTTCTATTCGCACATTTCGTAGTGATAATGCCCGAGAGTATTTGTCTTCCCC